CAACCCCCAGCCACAGCTCAGCTTTGCACCCCTTGGCCACAGTTCACCTCCGCATTCCCCGTCTGCAACTCACCCCTGCACCCTGTCTGTGGCTCATATCTGCATCCTGTCTGAAACTCACCTGTCAAGTCACCCCTGCAACACCTGACTGCAGCTCTCAACTGTCATCAACCGGCCCTCTCCATAGTAACCCTCATCCACAACTGCCTGCAGCTCACCTCTGCACCCCCTGTCCACACCTGGACATTTAAAAAATAAGACTTACCCCAAAAATAAGACCTAGTGTGTTTTTTTGAGCCAAAAAAATATAAGACAGTGTCTTATTCTCGGGGAAACACGGTATGTATAAGCCATACCTGACTGATGCAGAACAAGGGACTGGGGAATCTGTCCTCAGTCCCTTTCTCTGCCTCAAAAGTGGAACGTCAGAGGTCTGTGTAGACCCCTGATATTTCACCAAAGCCACCCAACAGGGCTTCTAAAAACTGTAAAAAATACCATTGTAAAAAAAATCAATAAAAATAAAAAAACTACTGTCACTGTCCACTGCCTCACTAACACCAACCTCTGTCTTACTGACACCGTCCACTGCCATACTGAGCCATCCATACCTCTGCTCTCTTTGTGTGTATGTGTGTAAGGGGGGGGAGGGGGGGTAACTGGGTCTTTGCCCTAGGTCAGGGGTAGGCAACCTGCGGCTCTCCAGCTGTTGCAGGACTACAAGTTCCATCATGCCTCTGCAAGTCAAAGCTATAACTGTCAGTTTTGTAATGTTGCAATGCCTTATGGGAAATGTAGTTCCACAACAGCTAGAGAGCCGCAGGTTGCCTACCCCTGCCCTAGGTGAAAGAATGTCTAGCTTTGCCACTCTGTCCAGTGGCATCATCAGCTCAGACCTAGCAAAAATCAGCTGAACCCTGGTACACCCATCTACAGTCTGGACAGATGTGGCCTTCATGGCAGACTTACAACTTAACCGCCATACCTTCATCATGAAAAAAGAAATGGCGTGCAGCAAATTGGCAGCAGGTGCTCTGGACTTGATGAGTTCAATTGTGAAATATTTGGCTGTAACAGAATGCAGTTTGTTTGCCAAAGGCCAGGAGAGTGGTACAAAGGTAGGTCTCTGCAGGCAACAGGGAAGCATGGTGGAGGTTTCTTACAGGTCTGGGGCTATATTTCTGTGCATAGAATTGGGGATTTGGTCAGAATCAATGGTCTCCTCAATGCTAAAATGTACAGGCAGATACTTATCCATCATGCAATACCATCAGGCAGATGTCTGATCAGTCCAAAATTCAAGTCATAAAGAACTATCTTCTACAACCAACGTTGAGGTTGTCCAGGACTACATGAAGAGCGAGAAGCAACTGAGACAGCCTAAATCCATAAAAGAACAGCCAAGATGTTTGGAACAGCCTACCTGCCAAATTGCTTTCAAGTGTACCTAGAAGAATTGATGCTGTTTTTAATGGACCAAATTATTGACTTTATTCGTTTTTTTTCTGTTTATGCAGGTTTTTAATTGATGTTCATTGCATTAGTTTGAAAGCATCCTCAGCATTTACAGAATTTTTTCACAACTGCCTAATACTTTAGCACAGTACAAAAACAGCACACACACACACGAGTACCTGTAATCCTTTTTAACCTTGTAGGCACTTGATACATTTAGCACAGTAGTAGCAAGTGAAATGTGAACGCTCTACGTTAATGAATGACAGTGATGGACTATCTTAATTTTCAATGAGATAAGAAGACCCTTAATGAGGATATTTTTAATTTCTCAGACTCCCTAATGGATGAAGAATCTGTGTGGTGGGGATATCACCCTGCTGTTAAATAATAAAGGTGCAGCAAGTTGTTACTGTGTATATGACTATGCTGTAACTTACATTACATATACCAGATGGGTCTTCAATATATCATATTTTGTACCCTCAAGCTCAGATATTACTATTGGGAAAGGGATGATATCCACATTAGTCAGATTATATGCCTGCCAATTCAATGCCCTTCACAGATCATGGCTAGAAAGTGAGCACAATAAGACACAATGGGACCAGTGCAGGACAGAAATCATATCCCATAGTTCACCTTAAAGGAAACCTGTCATGAGAGAACTAAGTAGGCTGCTATTAATAATCACCTCCTAAAAATATAAGCTGCATTCCTGTCGCATGGATCCTCCGACTGTAATTACTTCTAAATCGCTGACTCAGAACACAAATTTAGACATACAGTAAGTATACCTGATCTACATATGTGTTCCAGATCATGCAATTCAAAAAGTAACATAGCCAGAGGATGACCAAAAGAGACAAGCAACTAGGATTTTCCAATGAAGGTCAGCAATGGCAGTCTCTGTTTTTTTATGGTAGGATTTCCTTCAGTAGCAAACAAAAGCATAAAATAAATGTAAAGAAGCAGATGCTGTCACTGAATCTATTGGTGATCAGTATTTTAGGCAATTTTGGTAAGCATCATATCAAAAGCTTACTTTTCTCCTGTGTGCCTCCATGTTGGCTGCATATTGTCATAGTACTACAAAACTTAAATAGAATCTTCACCTTGAAAATTAACTTTCCTCCTCTATAACTCTCTCCCACTCTGCTACAAAAATATCCCTCCCCTCCCCCCATACTCCCTCTTCATATTGGTGAATGACACGCAGTGCCCTTGGTGGCTCCTGAGATATGTGGGAGCACTGCACATCAATCCATTAATTAAAAGGGAGGGGGGGCTAGCGGCACATCATTGGGAGGTGGTGCCTGAACATGGAAAAGATGGCAGGCCCCTGATGACGTCACAGGAAACAATGGTAGACCAGGACCAGATGGATGCAGAGAAGTGGATCTCAGCAGGATAACACTGGATCCTCTGGGTGGGTGAACTGTGCACAACCCAGAATAGGCTAAGCAGGGAATAAAAGAATGAATAAATAGGGGAAGGGTGCAGTTCCTCTTTAACGAGTAGATGTGAAAAGTCCACTGCTTCACAATTTAATATTCCATATGAAAAAAAAAAACTATGGAGCCTTACCTGAACCTATGCAGGAGAAACCAAATGGTTCACCAAAATGGTGGCCCTACCAACTGCACGTATTTACAGTATCTTTCATCCCCCATCCCTCTATTCAACCACTAAAGCAATGCAGAGTTGGCCATGTGTAAGCTCCAAGTCACGACATAAGAGCTTTCTTGGAATGAGGAATCTCTTTCTACCGACATGTAAAAGCAATAGGCCAATCGCCAATCACTGGAATAGACCTAGGCCCCTATATAAAGGATATGCTCAGAAAGATTTTCAGGCTTTATAACAAAATGCTAAATGCACAATGTATGCCTAACTAGGAAGCTGTACCAGGAAAGGAGCTATACAAATAAATTTCAAACACAAATTTCCCAGCTCTCAAGCCTAATAGTCAGCAAAGTCTAATGAGTTCTTATATCTCATATTTTATTTGAAAAGGACATTATTAGGTTTCTTTTGCTGACTAACAATACTGAGTATATAGGACTTTTAGACTTATTGAATAAGACTGTGCAAAATGCAACAACCAATAGCAACACTTCTAAAATTATCCTTTGATGTTTCTGATTTGAGTATCATTCACAACCTTAACTTAAAATTAGGCCAATGGAATTTTACTTTTATCATAATTCCACTCAACACAGTTCCACTAGTGCTTTATATTATACTTACATATTGTTAATATAATAGATAAATCTATTAAAATAATCTGTCACTAAAAGGTCTACAGTGTTCCTCAACTTTTACACACAGATCTAATTCATGAGGTTAGCTACAACTATGCTCTGAATTCTTAATTCAATCCAAAGAGAAATTTGAAGAGCGGGGTTGTGATCACACTGTTTTAAAATAAAACAAAAGTGTCAGGACACCTACAGAAAAAAAAAGACAATGAACCTTGTAAACCCTGGAAATCTCTGTTCTAGAACCAACCAGTACATTATGGGGTTGATTTAACAAAGTTTCACGTTGCAAAAAATAGCCAATCAGATGCAAGGAAAATATAAAAAAGGAGTGTCACTTTATTCATTAAAGCAGAACTTAACCCATAACAACTTGTTAAAAAGAATAGCAAGGAGCACACATTCCACATTATTAATTGTGCTACCAAAATTAGTGTATGCTGTAAATGTGTGTGCCATTTTGCTGAAGCCCAGAACCCCAAGCAGCGTTAAATCTTTAGGCTGTTAGCAGATTGGCCTCTAGTGGCTCTGTTTTTCAGCATAATGCCAAAAATGGAGATCAACTGATCATGTACAGAGCAGGGTGAGACAGTGTATTACTGGGATTTAAACAACACATGCACTTATTTTTAATGTTTTACATATAAAGCTATACCCGCAAAAGGGGGCAACCTAAAGTGATCTAGCAGGACTTTTTTTTTTATTAAAGCTCCACGTTTAAGCTTTGGGGGGGGATTCCCTGGAAAAGTGCAACTTCCCTTGTAAAGTGAACAGCATATCTGCATTCATTAAATCAACCTCTGTATTTATGAACTCAACATTTTGCACTCAGTACACATTTTCAGCAGTGGATGAAACGGTCTTTTAGTGAAATCATAGTATTTGGGGACAGAAGATGGGTTCATTTACTAAAGGCACTGGTGTAACCAACTGTAAATCAGCTGTTAACTTATCTGACTACAGTACATTTATATGTGACTGGCTGTCCTAGGTGCTTATTTCACTATGATGAAATGTTGACAGTCTTAGTTGTTCTGTGTCTCTGTGTCTAATAATCATGCAGGATGCAGTTAACTATGATGTGAAAAGGGCAGTAACCCAAAGCAACCACATTTCAGACCACCAATGAAATACAAATTCTGATTGGCTGCTGTGGGGTACTGGGTTTTACCTACTGCTTTTTGTTCTATTTAATAAACCTATATGTGGGGAAAAAAAGCTTTGGAACAGTTTCAATAATAAGGCTGTGAACTAAGAAAACACGGTAAGAATATTTTTACGTACTGAAAGTTGTCCAGACAGGAACTGGGGAGCGTCACGCAACATTCCAGGACTCATGGGGGAAGTGACAGATATGGAGGGACGATCCATTTTCTGGGATTCAAATGAACTAGAACCTATTTGTGACATAAACATCAAATTAGCTTTGAGAAGTAAACATGGCAGAACAACAGACAACCCATAAAAACTATTTCCTTAAGTGTCCAACTGTCAGCAAGGATTGAAATTGCCTAACAACGACCTTAAGCTCCTATAGTTCAGAAATACCTGCATTTTGGATAGTTCCTTGTATATAATAGAAGGACTGCCCATAGGAATAAGTAGGATTGTGCCCTTATGGTCAGAAATGAAGGATTGCAGTTTGGGCTGCACAGCGTGGATCTGGAATGAATGTGGACAGGTGAGTAAACGTCTTTGGGCTTTGCTAGGAAAGCAGGGGGACTTGTAGGAAAACTTTATGAAAAGTATAGCCATTCTTTATAAATCAGAAGTGGCACAGCTTTGGAGTAAAAGCGGCTGTGACAGCCCTAATAAGGCAGCAGCTAAGCCAAGAAACATGATCTCATGACTGGCGTTCACAAGTGATATAAGAATCCAGCAAAAAAGCACATTAGAGCCACTGCTCTGAGATGCCAAGATCAGTCCCTTCAAAGCAGAACTAAACTCTCTCAATTAACTAGTTTTAATCATTATGCTGTTAGCATTATTAAATAGACAGGGAAGTATATTATATTTACTTGTTTTTAATTTTTTTTTCTACAGTTTAGTTGCTTACTGGTTTCTAGCCTAGGTCAAATTATGTCATACATCCCAGGAATCTTTATTTATTTATTTCAGGTAGTTATATAGCGCCGTCAATTTACGCAGTGCTTTACACATATATATAGTACATTCACATCAGTCCCTAACCCTCAAGGGGCGTACAATCTAAGGTCCCTAACTTACATTCATACATACACATACTAGGGCCAATTTAGACAGGATCCAATTAACCTACCAGCATGTCTTTGAAGTGTAGGAGGAAATCGGATTACCCCGAGGAAACCCACGCAGGCACAGGGAGAACATGCAAACTCCAGGCAGGTGGTGCCGTGGCTGGGATTCGAACCAACAACCCTGGTACTGCCAGGCAGAAGTGCTAACCATTTAGCCACTGTGCTGCCCATGAGCGGTTTCCTCAGCTGAGCATACCCTCCTGCCTTCATGCCTGAGCTAAGGGCACATAGATTCCAGGAAGTAAATTCAAATTTCAAAGTAATTTCTCTGCAAAAAAAGCATGGAGACACGGATAGAAGTGTTTTTGGTTTCTGGTGCTCAGATACAGTTAAGTTCCTCTTTAAGCTACTAACACATGGGGTTATTTTTAGTCAAAGAAATCTTTTATTCTCAACTTACCACCTACCCACTACAAATACTAAAGAAACAGCACCGTGTTACAATCTCAATTGTTGTGATAGTTTTTCACAGCTGTCTCAGACAGTAAAGAGTTTAGGAATGGCTTTGACCCTTCTATACTCTAAAGTCCACTCCACTTTTAATATTGCGCTTGACAGTCTCTTCATTCTACTTCCTCTTACCATGTTAAGGGTGCTCATTGCCTGTATAGGATTCTTCCTAATTTTGCAATTGAAAATACAGAGCAAAAAACACCACCAGCCATCAACCTACGCATTACCCGCCAACGTGTTCTCTGATCTAAACAAGGTCTGCTTCTTCATTACCGGACTATTGACCTAAATAAATAAGCCATGGTGTGCACTGAGCCTAGAGCTGGGATAAATCAAACCCATCAACTTACCAGCAACAAATAACTGCACTAAAGAACTAATTACAATGGACGTGTCACATGATCAATAGGCTGTGTTCCCAGGAAAGTTGATTCAGAACACAAAATGTGTTCTGTATGTGTAGATTCAAGGATAACTTGGACTGAATATAATATTTCATTTTTGGGTAGGCTTTTAGGTAGGATGGCTAACAGCGTTGAGTGTATAAGGCTTTCACATTTACTTAATAAGACAAGAAACCAATAGCAACACTTCTAAAATCATCCCTTGACCATTCTGAATAGAGTTACCAGTCCTAGTAACTGCTATGAGTAAGTTTGCTTTGCTAATTCATACATACGCCAGTCATGAGATCATGTTTTTTTGGTTTATCTGCTTCTCCCATCGCACCCTGCACTGCTGTACTAAATAAGTCCACTGAGTCATATATTAGAAAAAGGTTTCTCAACCAGGGTTTCATGGAACTCTAGGGTTCCTCCAGAGGTGCCAGGGTTCCTTGAGCAAATTCTGCCTCTCAGGTATGTTCCCACTGACACCATTGAACTTTTTGGCAATCTGTAGGGGGTAATTCTTCCCAATGACCACAAGCATAAGGAGCATTCTTCCCACTGACCATCACACTAATGTATCATGAGATGTAGCTATAGTAATTATTAGCAGGGGTTTCCTGAGACTAGAAAGTTATTTCAAGGGTTCCTCTGTGTTGAAAAGTTTGAGAAAGGCTGCATTAGGGTAAGAAATTCATATTAATAGTAACATTGTCACTGAAACACTTGTTATATGACACTGCAAATTCTGATAGCAACTGGAACTGAACATATTATTTTTTGGGTAGGCATGTATGGGCAGAATAACCCATTACATATACCTGGGAGATTTCAGTGGTGAGATTTCTATGCAGCTGTTTGCATCTGTACCTTATTATAAATGTCGTTCAAAAGCAACTGATCCAATTAAAGAGAATATGGCACCTAAAAAAAACTGCTACATGAACAAAGTGTAGGCATCTAGAGCTGTCTGCACATACCTGCAGCGGCCTTCCAAACAAAATTGTAATGGCCAAATTGGTGGACCTTTCTGACAGGCAAGACAAGTTCCAGCTCCTTATGAAAATGCCAAACCTTGACTGCCTTTTTCTGTTTCCTGCTCATTCCTAATGACCAGTGAGGCTGCTCATCATAGTAAAGGACCAATAGGTTTGTGTGTGCAGGGCTTGGTGGCAAGCTCTGACAACTACCTGAAAGTGTCTCAGGTTTACCTCCTAAAGGTAAAGCCAGGATTCAGGCAGGATTGCTTATTCTGCAGTTGAAGGAACATTTGTGGGAGAGTAACATCATCAGAATTACAGACCAAATTCAATATCCAACATGCGATTCACCCATACAAATAAACACAGCATGTGACTTACTGGAATCTTGCGGGGCGTGTGTGCTATCAGGTATTCTAGGGATATCTCTGAAACAGAATGGTAAAACTTTGTTAAACATTCTGACTTATGCACAGTCATACCTAAAAATAATTGCAAACAAAACTTAATTTTCCCATAAAATAAGAATGATTTCAGAAGGGTCTTTTCGACACAAAATCCATAGCCGAATTTCAGATTCTTTAAGAGACATACATAGAAAAGTATACTGTCTCTAGGACAATTAGCAGTCTATTGCTGAGGGCCTCCAAACTGCATTCATTTCTCTGCCCCATAGTAGCTGACTAGCCTGAATGTGATATTCCTTCAGTCAGTTTTATCCCACAAAGATCAGCATAACATCAGGATGTAAAATGACAGTTCAGGCTGGAGTCAGATAAGGACAGAGGCATGCCCTTGTCACTACACTACAGACCCACATTACGTCTTAGTGAGCATACTTAGAAGTGTTAAGGATGACCCCACCGTTCTGGTACACATGCTACTGTGAGGCAAGGCAATAAAAGAAGTCTGGAAAATACATGGCAGTCATGTTCCTTATTCATGTCCAGGCTCTGCTACTTTGGAAATTTTACTTATTGAGATGTAAGAAATGTAGATACATCGGACATAATAAAAAAAATAGACAAGCAATTAACAAAGTTTCTTATTTATCAGTAGTATATAAAACTTTATATATATTTACTATACTATATATCTTTACTTTATTGTATAAAGATATTCTTTCAAGTGCACCCATGCCTAGACAATGCATAATAAAGTGTATGCTTATTCTTAACCAGCACAAAAAAAGAAGTTTAAAACAAGCCATCCCTTACCTCTCTAGCTGCATGTACTATGAAGTAATTCATTCATCTTCACAGATCACAATAAAGACTGAAGTTAGGCTTCAGTCAGTTTCCAAAAGCCCAGAAACTTCTGATGCATGTGTACATTATAGGGCTGCCATAATTATATTGTAATAGAAAGTGATAGGAAAAAAACTAAGATTTCTGTGCCTCTATATAAGGGAAAAGCTAAACTTTAAAGTTGTCATTGGAACGGGAATAAAGTGGAAGTCTTTCAACTAACCCCTGGTTCACATATATGCAGCCTTGCGGGCTGCATTTTGTGCAGGCACGAGAGCCCATTCATTTGAATGGAGTCCCGTGCCCCGTGACACGCAGGGCAGAAGTCCCTGCACTTCTTCTGAAAATGCAGCCCACGCGGGAACTTCAGTTCCCAGTACGGTTGCGTTTTCCAGTGCAGGAGGCGTGCCATTAGAACTAATGGCACCCGGCCGCGCGTTCGCATTTCTCTGTGAGGGTGGTGCGGCTGCACGGATTTTCGTGCGGATCCACAGTGGCACACCCGCACATATGTGAACCAGGGCTCAGAGAGGAATTGTCAAGGTTTGGAAACGTCTGCTCACATCCTGTTGTGTCTATGGGACAGGATGTAATAGGAACCCTTCCCTTACTAACAAAAGGTTTGGCATTAGATATACTTTAATGGAGTTTAGCTTCAAATTAAGCAGAAAGCAATGTGTGACTTTTAGTTTTGCATAGCAACCCAGCTAACATGTACTTTTAATCAGTTTTGAAATGTAGGAATAACCTGTATTTAGTTCTATTTGGTTGTTAGAGGTTGCTTCACTACCCACATTGCTCTTCCGCCTTATAAATATGGGTGATTCTGATAATAATCTCTCTTACCATTTATTGGCTGTGTAAAGACTACTTACCCTATAGGTCTGGAGACCACTAATTCTACTTGTGCCTCTGGTTTGGACTCCAGAATTATATTGTAAACTTCTTCAAATGTTGCGCCTTGTAATATCCGCCCATTCCACTCTAAAACCTCATCACCTGGAGAAGAACAAAAATATAGAGGTTACTTTATACAGCAAGCTTCACACAAGAACAGTCAAAAAATATTCAGATTGTAGCAGAAAAGGGAATTTTGTAAAAAAACTAAAATCAACAAGAGGGAGGAGGCAAATAAATGTAAGGAGTCAACAAGAAGTAATTTGTAGCAGTTTTATTGTAAATTAAATAAGTAAATGTATGAAACAATATGTCTTGTTTATTTCTTTTAGAAGATTACGTTGTCTTGATTCTGTCTGAACAAAACAAGTGGTGAGTCTGTAAACTGTTACATTTGTAGGCATGCATATTAACATTTTAATTTATAACCGCATCACAAACACTTAAAACACCTGGTGCTTGAAAACGATGTTTACCCTAATTAACCTGAACAGCTGATAAAAACAGGTGAAAACTAAGAAGGTTTTTTATGGATGCCTTAAACCACACACAAAATCATTCAGGTTTAATATAAATATAAAGAGATGTGACAAATAATCCTTTATTGTGTTCATTTTACGGTAGTCACTCCAGTCATGTCCCTCACTCTATCACTAAACCTTTGTCATCCTTCTTCCAAGCAAACTCTTGCCTCACAGCTCCTTCTAATGTAGGCCATACATGGTTCGAATTTCGAATGATTTTCGTATGAAAATTGGACCTAAGAATAATCCGCTGATTTTTGTTCTGTTAGTGGGGCAATGGCATTGGCCGGATTTCATGGTTCCTCCCCATTTCGTTTATCGGGCATGCTGGAAAATTCGTGAAAAACGACCAATTTTCAAAATCATTGGTGGTACCATCGGATTACAGAACGAATGACGTTTCAACTTTCGGACAAAAAATAGTTCGGAATTTGAACCATGTATGGCCTGCATAACTCCTGCAAACCTCAGAACCTTGTGAGTTGTGTTCCTATTACATCCTGTCCGGTTGTCTGAGTCCTCATGCACACTGGATGTTTTTACAGCGGCTGTTTTTGGCTTTTGCCATTTTTTTCTACAGCCAGTAAACTCCTTAGCATGTTATCCTATGTGTCCATGCACACATAGATTTTAATCAGTGTTTTTTGCCAGGAGCGTTTTCTGGCAGGAAAAACCCCCCAGCACTAGTGGGTTTCAAAAGGAGTTTTTTAGCTGTAAAAATGCTCTAATGCTGATAAAAGCTGAAAAACGCTGATAAAAGCTGAAAAACGCTAATAAACGTGGCTATCTGGTGTTTATGAGCTTTTTTGAGCCTGAAGATTTTTTGAGAGTATAACTTTGCTAAGAAACGCAAACGCTGAAAAACACTGAGTCCTCATGCACACGGGACGTTTTGATAACGCTGGTAACATTAGCTGTGTAAAGTCACGTTAAAAACGTGAGTTTTTCAGCTTTTTCAGCGGTTTTGCATTAGCATTTAGTGGCGGTTTCCCGCATTTAGTGGTGCTTTCCCGCGTTTGCGGGTTTTTAGCATTTCTTTAGCGTTTTTTTTTTTTACAAAAATTAAAAAAAATCTGTCAAAAAAAAGTCCAAAACTGCCAGTTTGCAGTGTTTTACCGCATTTTGCTGTGTGTTTCAGCGTTAGAGAGTTTTTACAGCTAAAAAACTCCTCTAGAAACCCACTAGTGTTGGGTTTTTTTCCAGCCAAAAACCATCCCTGCCAAAAAACGTTGATTGCATGGACAGATAGGATAACATGCTGGGGGGTTTACTAACTGTAGAAAAAACTGTCAAAAGCCAAAAACAGTAGCTGTAAAAACATCCCGTGTGCATGAGGATTAAAAAACACTGAAAAAAGCTAAAGCAAAAAAGCTGAAAAAAAATGCAAAACTTATGTTTTTATTGCAGCATTCTACAGCTGACGCTACAGGCATTTTTAGTCCTCATGCACCCGGGACATTTGATAATGCTGGTAACATTAGCTGTGTAAAGTCACATTAAAAACGTGAGTTTTTCAGATTTTGTTTGCGTTTTTGCATTGGTGTTTAGTGGCGTTTTCCCGCGTTTCTGTTTTTGAAGGTTTTTTTTGGTAAAAAAAAAAAAAGTCCAAAACCACTGGTTTGTGGCATTTTACCAGTGTTAGAGCGTTATTACTGCTAAAAAACTGCTCTAGAAACCCACTAGTCCTGTGTTTGTTTTCCAGACAAAAAACGTCCCAGCCAAAAACGTTGATTACAGTCTATGTGTGCATGGACACATAGGATAACATGCTGAGGGGTTTAGTAGCTGTAGAAAAAAACCATCAAAAGCCAAAAACAGCCGCTGTAAAAATGTCAAGTGTGCATGAGGCCTGAACCTTGTTTACATGTAAGCCATTTTTCTGATGAAACCTTATCACTCTTCTTCAAACTTCAGTTACCTGTCTGTAATCCTCACATGCCTTTCTCGTGCCTCTTCTAAATTTCACTCACCCATCAAACAACCTTCTTATTCCTCCTATAAATGTCTGTCACCCTTCTCTCACAGCTGCCTCACTCCTCTATAACTCCAAGTCCCTCATAAGTTGTCCTTCTCAAACCTCCTCCACTCCTTGGTAAACCATCACTTATCCTCTTCCTGACTCCAAACCTCAGTCACTATCCTACTATATCCTTCTCAAACCTCCTCCATTCCTCAGTCAGCCATCAATTATCCTCTTTATGATTCCAATCCACCGTCACTGTCCTATTATACCCTTCTCAAACCTCCTCCATCCTCAGTCAACCATCACATATTATCTACATGACTCCAAACCTCAGTCACTGTCCTACTATATCCTCCACAAACCTCCTTCAACCCGTTATTAATGAGTTTTCCTCTTCATTCCTCCTCCAAACTTCTTCATGACTCTAAACCTCAGTTACTTTCCTCTTATATTTTTCTAAAACTTCCTTTAATCCTCAGTGGACCTTCTCCAAACTTCAGTCACTGTTCTCATTTATCCTCCTTAAACCCCCTCCAATCCTCAATTACTCATCAATTGTTTTCTTCATTCCTTCTTTAAACCTCAGTATTCTGAGTTGTCCACTCTGCTTATTCTTCTGATTCTACCTGAATACTTTCTTGCCAGTTATCCTTTTTATTTTTTCTTCAATCTGTATAGGCTTTCCAGAAGTCAAACTGTGCACTGCTGCAACACTTTTATAATCATATTTAGTAATTAGTTTCCTAGATGATGATTTTATTTCCCATATATATACATGAATACCTCTACTGATATAATGAAGGCTCTGACATTGCACCCAAACAGATCTAAAAGTCCTGTATTTTGAACCCCCTATCACACTGTGTAAAAAAACTCTACCATAAAGACAGTTTTCTCTATGGTAGCACAGATAATTGTCTTAGTTGCAGCTTGGAATCTTATAACATTTTGATTACATCAGGCCAAAGCAAAATGCTACTTACTACTAATGTGTGCATTATACAAAAACATTATGCATGCGACAGACACTTCTGCCCTGCCCCTGGAAGAGAGAGTTAAGGAAATGTGTAGAGGGTTCCAGGAACCACATCAAAATCTGGATGTTACAACTTGGTGTATCAAATTGGCACACAATCTGCAGTTTACATTTTAGCAAGTATGTATAACATCCACCTGGAAATGATATTTCTGTTTATGCAAGGTGCTAAAGAGTTTATACTGCCCTACATGGTTTCATATCTCTGGAGCAGCAACAACTATACAAGTTTCAAAGAACTACTGACCCCATTTTTGCTCAGTTTTTTCTCACATTTCAAAAAATGGAGTTATACTGCCCTACATGGTTTCATATCTCTGGAGCAGCAACAACTATACAAGTTCAAAGAACTACTGACCCCCATTTTTGCTCAGTTTTTTCTCACATTTCAAAAAATGGAATGGAGTAGAGGGAACACCCAGGGGTGGATGAGGATATCTCTGAGAAATATATTATAGAGACCTTGCTGCTGAACAGAGGCCAAAGGGTGATAAAACCTAAAAACTACAGGTTTTTAGGATCCCCTCACCAACCCCCTCCCTGAAACCAGCCCCCCACCTAGCCTATTTTTTTAAACTTTTCTATACATATATTTACTCCAGCAGTCTTCAGGTTTGTCATGTGACAACAGTGGAGGTAGGCAGTCCTTACTCCTGGATAGTGCAGCAAGGCTCATATAACAACCCCAAAACATCATGTGTGAGTGTTGTTCTGTCCAGGAAATCTGTGAATGCAGACCAACGTGATGACACCCCCCTCTTGGGGGCTTGTCTATGATGGCATGATTTCACAGGAAATTGGGCTGATCCTGCCTATAATTCAACCAGAAAGAGAGCCAAGTGTTGTGGATCACAGAGCAATGAACGGAGAGTGCTGGAGTTAGTGGTCTTTAATCTAACTAGACTGTATCTATAACTGAAATATCATTTTTTGGAGGGTGTGACATGGCCTTTCCTCCCTTTTAAAAAAAAGGGAATAACCAGATTATTATAATGATTTCCTGGAGAAATATCAAGGGTGCTTTCGGCCAACTGTAAGATGTGCTAACGTAATAAAACCCAACTTTAACTGAAGGCTGAATGAGCTGAGGATGGCCAACAGGCCTTTAATAGCTCTATGCAGCTTGAAATAAATGGCTTTATAATATTAGGAAATATCTGCACTATAAACCATCAGTTTTAGATACACATTTGGTCTAAGAGTATAACAGAATGAGTTGCATGGCTCTGGGCACTATTATAAGTAGGAATTTAAAAACCTTATTTCTCTAGATTTGTGGTGGATATGGGACATGCAGATACCATTTCCAGTATAAAATAAAAAAAAACCTGAATCATCTTTAAAAAAAATAATTAATAAATACATTCCCAAGAAATAATCTGGAATTACTTAGACAATCACTCTTAAACGTCCACCAGCCATTGTTATGTCATCAACATTTTTATTCTGCTATCCATTGATACACAATGCCCACAGAGAGCCAGTGGCTATATTAAGCTGTGTAGTACCTTACCATAAGAATTGTGAAGTAAATTAGCAACATAAATCATTACTGAAGATATAAAATCCACAATGTTTGAAAATGACATAATACCAGAAAAGGGCACTAATGTGATTTATTTATACTGATGTACATACATTTCAACCCTCAACTGAAGACACCACAGACCTCCCGAGACTGGCGCCACATGCAGCAATGACGCGAGTGGCTCTTTAGTGACCTGATCCACAGCACAACTGAGTCATGTCCTGATGTCCTGTTAGATCTACTTCCAGTTTACTAATGATATGACATTCATGGAGTGTCATCCAACACCTCACCTAGAAAGATGCTTACATGACCAATGTCTAACCATTATCTTCTGGCTTACTGTGAAGCAAGTACTCGAATTCATTATTTTTTTATTTTAGTTATTTTATACCTTTATTTCAGTTAATAGAAAGGGCTTTAATTTTCTAGCAAAACATATCCTCTGCCTCACCCTTCCAGGAAAAAAACAGTTAAATACCTTTTAATGCAGTTTTACTCACTTAAGTCCACCATCAAATTCCATTTCAGTAATGTTTATGGGTGTCAGTGGGTATGTTTGCCATGGCTATTTTAGTGATTTGTATAATTAATATGAAGTAAGATTTTTAAGACCATGTGTTGTTTTAGAAGCTAGACCTCCCCAATTGATATGAGAATGAACTTGTTGAACTGATTTGTGAAGTTCAGGAGGGGGGAAGTGGGGGGAAAGGAAAAGACTTAAACAAGCCATGTGGTGAGAGACAGATATATAGTTGTGCTGGAGGACTTTGAGAAGGAAGGGGCAACAGTTGTTTACAGGACTCTGAGAGGGAAGGAACCATAAGAAGACTACTACACCAAAGGAAGAACCAAGTTAAGAAGCTGTTTAGTATACGTATTGCCTACATTTGGCATGCTAATTAGCTGGGAAGGATAGATCATTTGGTTATGTGTATATTGTATGCATATTTTGTTATACTTTGTATGCAGTGAATTGTTTTTCCTACAGTTGTATGTGCAGCTTTTCTGTTTAATAAAAGCACATTAACACACTACAAAGGTTTCTAAGCTTCCTTGCTTATTCCGTGAAGAACCTAAAAGATGCAAAGCAAAACAGTGGACCCATAACCCAGCGCTGCAAATGTGTCCATGTCTGCCAGTCCATAGTGGTCCCCTCTTGCTGATGTCATCACCTACAGACTCTCTTCTGGATCCTGAGAGGACACTGTAGGCATGCAGGCGGTGACATGGACACCCAAGACCCCACCTCCTATGCCAGGTGGAAGGGAGCTCAAAAATGTAGCCTTTGGTATTTTAAATAAGGAGTGATTAAAGCAACTCAGGAATGTTGATTAATTAATTGAAAATATTAGATTTTAAAATGTATGTCAAGGCACGTTTTATCCTTTTAAGGACCCTAGCGATACAGAAAAAAACCTATTGATATGCCAGAAATGCACTGAGCTCTTACACTCTGGTTTGGATGGACAGCATTGTGGCCTGAGAGGTGTCAGCCCTGCCCAGTGTATTTTGTTAAACTACTGAACCACTCCCATTCTTAGCTCTCTACAACATAAAAGGCTAATTGTTCTGTAGTCCTAAATAAAAACTAGGAGGGTTAAATAAACACAGGAAGTGTGCAAAGGACACAGAACAGCTCAAATTTTTTTTTTTACATGATTAACATTTTTGCATGTATCAACCAGATATAGAAAAAGAAACAGATCAAACAGATATACCAAATTACTTTCAGTGGTATATTAAACAATTAAACAGACCAAAAGAGAGCAAATACAGTTCACAGTTAGGGTTTATAAACATTTCAAAATATTGGGACTGATCTAACTTTTCAATGTGCTAAAACTTCCAAGTACTGCCAGGATTATGTCATCATTTATAGGTAATAAATAATTCATCACAGCGGGAAGTCCTATTATCAGTCTTGTGTCAAACAAGGTATACATACAGTAGCAGCTACAAAAGAGGACACTTCATCAGAACAGACATACCCGGTCGCAGCCGCCCAACAGTGTCTGCTAGGCTTCCCTTCTTCACTTTGGTGATGTAAGCACAGAGATGACCAGTCTCTGACATTTTGCCCCCCACAACCTGCAATAACAAGAGATACAATATAAAACTGTGGGTAAATAATGGTGTCTATTAAAGTTGTTAAAGTATTAACAGTATCAGATTAAAGCAGTACAGTATAAACTATATTTTAGCATACATACACTTTAAATACCTCTTCCTTCATCCCCCGATAATAGAATAACAGAGCTGTGCAGTCCATTAAAACTTGACTGGGTACCAATGCATAAACCCTAATCTTATTTTAGATACATAATTAGTCTGGCTGAAAAAAGACAAAAGTCCATTCAGTTCAACCATTAAAAAAAGAAGAAAGAAAAAAAGTTATAATCCTATACCCACAGTTGAACCAGAGGAATGCAAAAAAACCAGCAAAGCATGATCCAATTTGCTCCTGCAGGGAAAAGAATTCCTTCCTTATACCCCGAGACATCAGATTCCCTGGATCAACTTTACCTATAAATGTTAGTATCCAGTTATATTCTGTGTATCTAAGAAACAATCCAGGACTTTTTTAAAGCAATCCATTGAGCTGGCCAGAACCAACTCTTGAGGGAGTCTATTCCACATTTTTACAGCTCTCACTGTGAAGAAACCTTTCTGTGTTTGGAGATTAAATCTCTTTTCTCCAGATGTAAAGAGTGCCCCCTTGTCCTCTGTGATGACCTCAGGGTGAATAGCTCTACACCAAGTTCACTTTATGAACCACTGATGTATTTATACATGGAGATCATATTCCCCCTTAATCTCCTCTTCTCAAGAGAGAATAAATTTGGTTCCTCTAATCTTTCCTCATAGCTGAGCTCCTCCATGCCTCTTATCAGTTTGGTTGCCCTTCTCTGTACTTTCTCCAGTTCCCCAATGTTCTTTTTGTGAATTGGTGTCCAAAACTGAACTACATATTCCATACATTTAGTATGTGTGATGGGTGAAAAATAAACAATTTTGACAACTGTAGTATTTCAAAAAATTTTTTAAAATAAATATATGACTGGTCTTAGATTTTTTTTTTCTTTACATTTGCATTGAGTTGGTAGGCCAGCTTTATGCAGAGGATGAATACCCCCAAGGTATATGAAGTATATGCTATGGCGGGTCTGTGCACACATTGTGGGATTTAGCGATATAACCAATGCAGCGTATTTCAGAAGGGAAAATGTATTTAGAACAAGAGGTCGTGATGTGAAGCTGCAGAGTGGGCGGCTGCCGGATACTTGAGGACGTTCCACTTTTACAGCAGGAAAGCTGGATTTATGAGATACCCTATCCACACATGATATAGCAGCCTATGGAATAAAAGAACTAAAAAAAAAAATCCTGAGGAGACGCAGGAGGCTGTTATGAATAGAAGCAAAGATCAAATAGCAGAAGGTCTGCAGTTTTGCAACAAAGGGGAAAATTGGCAGATTGCATGTGCCAAGAGCTGCTTTTATGTCTTCAAATGCTGTGCTTCTAGGTGTTAAATTATTTCTGAGACGACTGACATATTCATTTGTACGGCTCGGGGAGGCGGACGCGTCTGTCTTAGAACGTGTACTTTGGGCTAAAGAAATTCAGTGTGAAGAGAATACCCCGGAAGTCGTATTTGCTGTGCCAGCCAAGATCTGGAGGTGCTACACACTGAGAATGCAAAATGCTGAGCCTGACAGACACAACGCTTGTTCACGTCTGAGGAATACCGCTTTTATTACTGTCAGCGTGATTAACCCTCTCCTGACAGTCAGGGAGAGATCACTTCTATAGGAAGAGAGGCTGCAATCCTATTAACTGCAAACAGATCTCAAGGGGACAAGGCAGCTTTGCTATACCATCTCAGAACCATCTTAAAATATATCTGCAGCTGCCATTGGTCTTCATCTATAAAAGCTAGCTGTCTGGCTGTGTCTGTCTTCAATATTTCTATGCCACAAACATGGAATAATCATGCACACTTCAATCTAACTGCACCACTCCAGGATCCTCTCCTCTCACCAGCCACCAAAGCCAACCTGGGTGTTCTTCCTATTTACCATACTTAACGTGGTTCTAAAGGCAGAAGGTTTTTTTTCTGTGGACGAAGGTAAAAAAACTTCTGTGCACAGCAGCCCCCTCTATATTTGCCTGAGACCCATTGAGATCCAGCGATGTGCACAAGAGCATTAGTTCTCCAGGGGCTCTGCTTCCTCATTGGCCATTGCCTGTCATTGCTGTCAATCACAGCCAGTGAGCCAATGAAGAGACAGAGGAGGCAGGGCTGTGAATGAACACACAGAGCAGTGGCTCAGGAGCGAGCCTGCTTTTGGTGTGCCCTCATAGCAAGCTGTTTGCTTTGGAGAACCCTTAGCAGGAAGGAGGGGCCAGGAGCACCGGTGGGGGACCCAAGAAGAGGAAGACTGGGGCTGCTCTGTGCAAAAACCCACTGTACAGAGCAGGTAAGTATAACATGATTGTTATTTAAAAAAAAAAATCTTTAATATCACCTTAAGGCAACCATGCAAACAAAGCCAAACCATGCATTCTGGCTTTGAAGAAAATGTAATTGTTTGGAGTGGCATACATACACATAATTTTAGAGTCTTTGTGATCAAATGGAATCTGTTACTTTCCCATTCAGAGTTCACCCCCATCCTTCACCGCACGAGCAATGCTCGACCTCATCACGTTCCCCAACCACCACTGAGGAAATATGTGTGCGTCTTCCCTTACTCCCAAAGACAGTTCTTAAGCCGAAGCTTAACAGGTGGCACTGCCCCTAAAACTCGCCCACTAAAGCCAATGAGACCATGCTGTGTGCCAAAAGTTTAATTGATGGATGTTCGGATGCAAAAGGTGCAGTGTATGCATCCCTTTGGGGACCCTGCACACAGGGCTAGTCAACTGTAGTGCATCCCTCCTGGCGTTTTAGTGCGCCCGGGAAGGAAAGGTGCAGCATCCAGTCTGCTGCCTGCAGCCTATCAAAGCCTAAGGCAGCCTGTGACTGGATGGAGCTAAATGCTGTATTGAGTGGTATCTGCGTCTAGGGCCCAATGCATTCAGTGTCAAATGACCAGAAGCCAAAGACCTGAGTTTCAGACCTACGCCCCTGAACACACAGGGCCCTAAATATTGGTACCACTCGGTGTATAGTTCAGCCCTGTCCAGTCACAGCCTGCCATAGACTTTGACAAGCTGTCTGCATTGGGGCTGGATGCTGCACACATTCCTCCGAAGCACACTAAAACACCAGTAGGGATTCAATGCAGTTGAACAGTCTTGTGTGCAAGGGGCCTTTGAAATAATTAACCCGTAGGGAGTATCTCACCAAAATGACATTTCTGTTGTAGGGGATCCCTAAAATTTAATTTGTATCTTAGTGTAGACTGCTGGAAAAATCAGTGAGGAAATCATAAAAACAGGAAATTACATTTTTGGCGTTCTGCACGCCTTTTTTTTTTAACACGACTGTGCAGATAAGATATTAAAATTGGTTCTCTTTAGACCTTTCCATTGACAAGTTAGCACACTTACTAACTGCAGAGATTTTCCTGCAAGCATCAAATTTTGGCATTATACATGAATTGATATCATCCCCCCCCCCCCCTTCAGTGTATGTTACAAGTGTAGTTTGCCATTTCCCAGGGAATTAATAAGATTAATAAGGTTCATAATTCAACATGTTTTTTTTTTTCAGTGTGGAAAAGTAACATCTTGTCCTTAATGTATACAACAATCTCTAGCAATTCAAAGAGGTTCATCCTTTTACTGTTTCAAGTATCAGATCTCTCTTTTCTCCTGACCTTGTTCTGTCTTAATTAAGCATATTTCAATTAAATGTTGTCCTTTCCCTATTAAACATTCCAGCAAATTGTAGAAAGCCGATTAGCATAGCTCGGAATGAATTGTGCTCTGATAATCCATAGTTTCAGTATTTTATTGAACACTAAGCTGTACCTGAAAAGCAGCCAATCTGTGTTACCAGGAGAAAAAAAGACTGGAGATTTGTTTATAGCATATATTGTATGCCATGTTCACTAAAATGCTATGATGGTGCAAATGTGTGTTTTCCATGCAGCATAAAGACAAAACCAAATTATTCAATCCATCTATTCATACAAATAGTTGGTTCAAATCAACCAAAGAGGGAGATGAGATAGGAGTTTAATAATACCAGGCCTGAAAAATGTGAGCTTTCCCAAACAAATTAAAAAAAAAATAAGTAAGAAAAAGAATATGTGCCTTTAGCGAGAAACTTTAAAAATTAAAAATATCTGGCCAGAACCTATTCCAATACTCACCTTCACTTAAAGTGATTGTAAACCTCAGACATGAAATATGAACAAAGCATATCCCTCTATAGGGTGTTCTTATCTCAGTTAGGAGCACTAAGTGTCATTTCTGTCTGCTGCTTTGTTCCTCTGCTATCACTTCTGACATGTTTTCCTGACACTAAGAGAAAAAAGGTAACAGGTGAAGGACCTCCAGCAGATTGACAGCCTGAGCCCTGTTCCTGTGAGCAGTGTGAAGGGGGTGTGCCTTTTCCATCCATTCAGCTCTCAGATTTCACCTCACTGAGCTCTGCAGAAAGTAACTACAGCTCTCCGCCCATTTTTCCTGAACTCTGACAAGCTTCAAAAAATCTGAACACTGAACGGATGTTGGGAAGATAAAACAGCAGATAAACAGGTACAACTTATGTAGGAGGATTTTTTTTCATCTCTGTGTATCACCTAAGGCCAATCACTTCACTAGCCATATGTAAAGGTTTACAACCACTTTACGTGCTGTCCCCTAAAGACTCACCTCTCCTGATATCTAGCTCTGGTCCTCTTCTAGGTTTAATGATAGTGAAGTTGAATTTGTCACCACGCTGAAAAAAAACATCTCCTGCACATGAGTGTGCTGGTGGTCTGACACCAGTTCTTCATATACATCCACTTCTTAGCTGGGAATATGGACGCACCACACTTTTCTGCCCTCTTAGAACTGGGGAAGCCCCAATATCGCACTACAGAGACACAAGCAAGATTTAGGTCTGAGGAAGAGGGTACTACCTTCGAAACACGCAAGTCAGTTGGGATTCAGGTGGTGTCCTCCCAAGCATAGGAGCACGTGGAGTGAACCGATCACCTCTGAAAATTTGATGAGCTTTGTCTGACATGGTGTGCGAGTAGAATTAATTTTATCTTACAATACATGTTTCATTGGGATAATGCGCTAGGCTGGTGCGGCTTCTCTCTTGTGTGTCTCTGTGTTACCACTGGCCATCACAGTAGAATAGTAGGAAAAGAAGACCCAGGACATCGCATGACTGGCCAGAAGACTGCTGGATTGTAGATATTTATGAGTCATATTTAAAAAAATAGACTTGGGGAGGGGAAACAGAATCTCACTGTCACACAGACCTAGACATGGTTCATCATCTTCCCACTGCAAGCACAAAATTTTCGGTAACGTTTTTGAGTCTTGCCATTTATTAAACTGCCAGCAGGGACTGAAAGAAAGCACTTACAGGTGTCTAAGCACATCATAGCTGCTTAAGTATAGTGGAAGATCCAAAATCTGGCGCAAATCTTGATTTTCAACCCCTCCTTTCATGTTCCATTGACACGCTTTGTATCTATGCAGTTTTAAAAATCTCTGCAATTTTCACATCATGCATCTTTCATAGAAACCAAGAGTACAACATATAAAATGCAGACAACACAAAATCTAATCATGATCCTGAGATTTTCCTCTATCCATGTAATCCAGCACTCACCTTTAGACCAAGCATAGCTCCAGAATCTCGAGGCACACTGCCATCTTTTAACCGCTTATTTAATAAGATGCGGCCAATTAATCGGTCGCCATCTTTAGATGCTTGCCACGTAACAGGGTGCTGATTTGTGTAAAGAGAAACACAAGAACAATATGTTAGAGCATGTTTTTAACAGGACAACAGTAACAGATTTGTAGCCTTCAAGAACACCTGTAGTACAGAAGAAACCAAAAAACTGCAAAGGAGGCAGTTAGGCAAAATAGGTATTGCCCTTTCTTTTTTTAAATTATAATGGCCTTAGAGTAGCTTGGATTCGTAATTTTAAACCTCAGCCCACCTTCCTAAGTCCCACTGCTCATAAGTAAAGCAAAGCTACTTATGGCAAGGTCTTGACATTTTTAAATTTAGCTGCTGTTAAGAGGTTATGTTGTGACAAAGTTTGGCCCTACAGTCATATTCTAATAAAGTGAACAGCAATTGAGCCTGTTACACCAAATTCTCCTACAAACCCTTGGATCTTATTCTGCCATGATAACAAAAGGAACCCAACTATAAACGTCTACCTTTTCTACTAGCTTCTTTTAGTTGTTTAATATACCGTATTTTTCGCTCCATAAGACGTACTTTTTTCCCCCCAAAAAAGGGGGGAAAAATGTCAGTGCGTCTTATGGAGTGAATATGGAGTGGCCGGTCTGGTATTTCCGCCACCGCCACCATGTCAGAATACCGGGCCGGCCGCTCGTCTCTTCTCTGCAGCAGAAACGTACCTGTTCCTCGGTCCAGTGCTGTAGTCTTCTGGCGCCGGCATCTTTAGTGTGGGCACCTGGCTGTGACAGCCGGGTGCCCACTGCGCATGCGTGAGAAGCGCTGCGCTTTGTGAATGGTCCGGCATATTCTGGGACACATGACAGGTCCCAGAAGACTCTGGACCAATCACAAAGTGCAGCGCTTCTCGCACATGCGCTGTCAGCCGGGTGCTCACACTACAGGTAGGACAACTCCACGGAAGTGGGAGCGGGTACTTGTCAAATTCAGGTACCCGCTCTGCCTCCCTCCCCAAAGGTCTGCAGTCTCTTGGTCATCCCCTGTACTGTCTGCAGTCTCTGGTCATCCCCTGTACTGTCTGCAGTCTCTGGTCATCCCCTGTACTGTCTGCAGTCTCTGGTCATCCCCTGTACTGTCTGCAGTCTCTGGTCATCCCCTGTACTGTCTGCAGTCTCTTGGTCATCCCTGTACTGTCTGCAGTCTCTTGGTCATCCCCTGTACTGTCTGCAGTCTCTTGGTCATCCCCTGTACTGTCTGCAGTTTCTTGGTCATACCCTGTACTGTGTCTGCAGTCTCTGGTCATCTACTGTACTGTCCGCAGTTTCTGGTCATCTCCTGTAACTGTGTCCGCAGTCTCTGGTCATCTCCTGTAGTATGTCTGCAGTCTCTGGTCATCTCCTGTACTGTGTCCGCAGTCTCTGGTCATCTCCTGTACTATGTCCGCAGTCTCTGGTCATCTCTGTACTATGTCCGCAGTCTCTGGTCATATCCTGCATTGTCCGCAGTCTCTGGTCATCTCCTGTACTATGTCTGCAATCTCTGGTCATCTCCTGTACTGTCCGCAGTCTCTGGTCATCTCCTGTACTATGTCCGCAGTCTCTGGTCATCCTCTGTATTGTTCCGCAGTCTCTGATCATCTCCTGTACTGTGTCCGCAGTCTGTGTGTCATCTCCTGTACTATGTCTGCAGTCTCTGGTCATCTCCTGTACTGTGTCCACAGTCTGTGGTCATCTCCTGTACTATGTCCGCAGCCTCTGGTCATCTCCTGTACTATGTCCGCAGTCTCTGGTCATCCCCTGTACTGTGTCCGCAGTCTCTGGTCATCTCCTGTACTGTGTCTGCAGTCTCTGGTCATCCCCTGTACTGTGTCCGCAGTCTCTGGTCATCTCCCTGTACTGTGTCCGCAGTCTCTGGTCATCTCCTGTACTATGTCTGCAGTCTCTGGTCATCTCCTGTACTATGTCTGCAGTCTCTGATCATCTCCTGTACTATGTCTGCAGTCTCTGATCATCTCCTGTACTGTGTCTGCAGTCTCTGGTCATTTCCTGTACTGTGTCTGCAGTCCATTGGTTCAGAATATTTTTTTTCTTGTTTTCCTCCTCTAAAACCTAGGTGCGTCTTATTGTCAGGTGCGTCTTATGGAGCGAAAAATACGGTACTTTAAAGTGACAATCCCTTTGGTAAAAGCAAGACAAATACAGGAAGAGACATCTTAAAGGATCCTAAACCCCACCTTGGTTCCACTGAGCATGATGGTACTTTTAGAGGCAGAAGAGTTGGGGAACCTACAATACCTCTCACCAACTGCTGACATGTTCAGCAATTAGGGGGTGCAGAGTATAAACTGCTAGAGGGTAGGGGATACTATGGTACTCTGCTATGGACCCTAAAAGATTCCAGAGCCCTCCTCACATATCACTGTTTACCAAGAAAAGCAAAGTAAACCATAAGTGACTCCAAACACCTACTCAAGATAAGGGCATGGGAGGTCCTCTGTGGGGTTCTGTGCTCATAATACTGCCTACAATGGATGACTGGTATAAGGAACCTAACGGTGGGCCTAAATACAGTTTTGTCTTTTTTTTGTTCTTTTTTCTGAAGGGTTCTAGAGCTCCTTTTAATACAGGTGCACTTTTAGGCTGTTGGGGAATTAGAGGTTCAATATGTTCCACAAAAGCTTACAGAAAGCCTAATTCTTTTCTACACAAACACTAGCAATAGGGTACATTGATGACGCTTTACACAAGGGTAAGGGTCTTTATTTTAAGCCATGCAGCACTGATCTTTAAATCATACAGAAGTCTGCAATAAAACTCAGAAAATAACTGTCTTTTTTTTTTAAACTTGATCCTTACCCTGGTGTGTTAGCTTTGTGAATTGAACCTAATTCCAGCATTAATGAGAGTCAGTTAATTAAAGAATGTGACAGTGAACAATCTACAGCAAGGGTTTGTTTTTCCCATTCACGTATGAAAACTGATTTATAACAGACAATATATTTAATTGTGCAGTAGTATATAAAAAGCCTCTCTATATTAATCTGTGGCCAAATTGTCTATAACTGCCAAAATTCAGATGAATCTTCTTCACACCACAGAAACCAGCAAGCCTTTCAGCATTCCAGAACCTCCACCCTCCTGTAGCTATTTTTTTTACAGTTGCATTTGACCTGCAGCTGACCTCCTTCTGACCTACAGTTTACTTCATTCTGACTTGGACTTGACCTCCTTCTGATGTACAGTTGACCTCCTGCTGATCTTCTTCAGACGAGCAGTTGACCTTCTTCTGACCTACAGCTGACCTCCTTCAGACCAGCAGTTGACATCCTTCAGGCCCACAACTGACTGAAGAAATGTAATTGTAGGTCAGAAGGCAGTCAGTTGTGGGCCTGAAGGACGTCAACTGCTGCTCTGAAGAAATGTAATTGTAGGTCAGAAGGCAGAGCAGCAGTTGACCTCCATTAGACCCACAACTGACTGCTTTCTGACCTACAATTAAATTTCTTCAGACCAACAGTTGACCTCCATTAGACCCACAACTGACTGCTTCCTGACCTACAATTAAATTTCTTCACACCAGCAGTTGACCTTCTAAGGTGCACGAAGCTGCTTCAGACTGCTTTTGCATTCCCATTGACTTGTATTAAGGGAAAAGCAGTTTCATGAACAAAGGGCCTTTCTCAAATGTCAATGTGTATATGTGAACTGAAAATTCTACTGTAGTAAAACTTTTTTTAATTTATCAAAATACCTAAAGATAACCCTAATGTGTCTACATGAGAAAAGTTAACAACTTTACAACTTTAAATTTAGAGTCATCTGCATAGACTGCCACCATCTAACGGGATACTGGGGCTTCAAAATTGGTGAGTTTCCTTGTCATGCGAATGAGTGCGACTCAAGTTGCATCTGAAATTGCACTAGCATGAACCAGGCCTACCAGTACAAAATACAAAAAGCTTGTGAAGGATTTAATGATATTTCAAGGGAATTTATTCAGAAAAGTAAAGAGAAGTCAAAGAGGAGATTATTTGCAGTAGGTTAGGTTGGAAAGCATGGTATGGATATGCTTTCACCTTATGTAAACTAAAAACATATAACTGCTTCCTGAGTGATCTGTGAAAGTAAGGTAAAGTGGTCCTATAAATGAGGTGTAACTATAGAAATGATTATATTTACTGGAGAAAATGCTGCTGCAGACTCTCTTTGATGCTGGACAATGTCTATAGGATCTTGGTTGTGTGATCTTTGGTAACGGAGATGTTTAGCCAATATGAAGTTTTATCCTCCTCTTCAGTAGAGTTCACATGGTTGGCAAGCACTGGAGGGAACCAGAAGCATCATTTTCTCCAGGAAAGGTAATTATTTTATCCCTTTTATTAATCTATCCCTGGTAAGACTGTTAACAAAACTTTATGTAAATATGTTTGCTTCACTTTTATTTAATAACCTTTAAAATTTAAAGACTATTCTCATATACTGTATATAGTGGGGAAGAGACACAACTTCTGTCAGGTTTTTATTTTGTCCGTAACTCCTCTTGGGAGACGTTACCTTACCTCCAATCCCTGTGGTGCCCATAGAAGAATGGCAGGCATAGTCGCGGGGACAAGAAGTCACAGACAGCAATAACACAATATAAAGAAGGGTGTGAATGGAGACTGTCTCTATGCCTACCCCCAAATTGGCTGAAACATGAACTTGGAAAAAGCGGGTGGTATATGTATTTTATAGGGCACAAAAATAAACAAGAGTCAAAAATTAAAAATGCATACAAAACTTCATTTTTTCAAGCTAAAAATCCACAATAACGGCCACAGATTGTAAAGATATCTCCCACATGGCATACATGTAATTAAAAAGTGCGATATATACTAAACATGGTATATTATATTATTTGCAATCCCCCTAAAAAAGGAAAAGAAATACATTCTGAATGTATAAGAGAACATAAAAGAACTTTTGCCCAAATGTCCAATGCATTTCAAGACTTGCTCTTCTTCAGGGAAAAATCAGATGGACACTGTGTTGTATTGAACATGTGAATTACACCAGATTTTTCAAGAAAAACATGGCCTGTAGATATATGTTAAAATCAAGGAAAGTCAATGCAATTCATCCAGACTGCCCAGGAGGTAGTAGGGAAAACCCAGCCAAAACATAGGTAGATTCCTTTAGGGAGCCTTCTTCTACATCACACTGGGCCTCTCCAATGGTATGGCTGGCCACCACAAACACTCCCAGGGTCAGCAGTGGCTGTTCATCTGAATGCCCCTGAAGAAAACCAAGTCTCAAAACGCATCAGCATTTGGGCAGAGGTTCCTTTGTTATACATTCATAATGTAATTCCTTTCGCTTTTCAGGGAGATTGTAAATAATACAATATACTGTGTATAGTATATATGGTACCTTTTAATTAGATGTATACCATGTGGGATATATCTTTACAATCTGTGACCATTATTGTGGATTTTTAGCTTGAAAAAAAATGAAGTTTTATATGTATTTTACATTTTTTACTCTTGTTCATTTTTGTGTTCTATAAAAGCCCCACCACCCGGTTTTTCCCAGTTCATGTTTCCACAGACAGCAATAACAACTGTTGAAACACTCTACTAAAAACTCTGCTTTGTTTTGGTCTGAGTCGCTATTGGAGAGATTTCCCCTCACTTCCCGTCCTAACAGGAAGTGAGGGGAAATCTCCCCCAAAAAACTGAGGTCTTAAATCTTCCCCACTCTATTCAAAATTATATTAAAGCATTTTGGCAAAAGGAGGGCTACTTGTACTTTTAAATTTCCAATAAAATTACTGAAATAGAAAAATGGATCTGTACTAATTATTTTCCAATTTTGCAAATGTAATGAAAAATTGTCATTCATTTTAAATGGTATTTTTTCATGTACTGCTGTGATGCTTTGACACCCCTGTAGTGTGTAATATGTGAAAATATGGTTTACCCATACAGTGCTATAGGCATGCTGAAAATTCTAACGGGTCAATTTGTATATGTTATAGTACAACAAGGGGTTCTCCAACTGTTTATCCAGATTTAGACAAATCACAGTCTTTCCTTATTTAATTGACTCTCAAAGGATGATTTGTAGAACCTGACAAAAGCATATGCAAATCTGTAGCTCTGATTACACAAAATATATCAGTGTTATTTATCTCTTTTAAAATGATAGGATCTGCAAAATGGGGAAAAAAGAGAAAAAAAAAGAATATTAACTGACTTGATTGCGGTCAAAGTGGTTTATATATAATTAAGAGTGAGGCTGTCCAAAAGGTGGGCATGATCTGGGTGGGAGTGAGTGGCCAGAAAGTGGGTGTTATCTGGGCAAGACTGCTTGGAAGTTGGTCACATAACATGATGGGGTGGGGCATGGATGGGGGTGACCATGTCCTGGGAATTAAGATGTTGTTGAGTAAGCATTCTCATAGAGATCAATCATGAAATCGCTTAAGGGTCCATTCAAACTATGGGGTGTATTTATGAAAAAAAAAATCTGCATAGCAGTTTGCCCAACGAAAGTGCACATACATTTGTTTTGTGTGGATGGGGTAACAAAACAAGTGTTCATA